AGTTTAGCTTAGCTAAACTAAAAGTTTTCGAATGGAATAAAATACTTAAGACTGACTCCAAAAGTATCATCCCAAACAATTGTAAAGCACTAAGACAAATGTAACAGAGAAACCACAAAACAACTGAAATGTAGATTTTAAAGCAGACCTTCAGAGTAAAGTAACAAAACTTTAAAATAAAAAAAATAAACAAAAATAGGAATGCCAAGCAAACTATGCCTTCACGTGGTGCATACTAGGCAACACCAAAATAGTTCGAAATGTATTATAATTATTTATGTTAAAACATGAAATAAATTATAATTATGATTATGGAAAATAAATCACAATTTTTTTTTAACATAAAAGTAGTTATAACTCGGAGACGACTTATTTCTGAACCTATGTTTATATAGCTTTTTTTCCTTCTTTTTGGATTCCGAATCACTTTCCAAGTATTACGGGCAATTTTCCGAATACCCTGTATAAGCAGTCATGTTGTTGTATTCATAATATATAAAATTTTGCTGTCAGCAAATGTATAACATATGCAATGCATTAGTTTGTACAATATGTTATATCATGCTTAGCTATCTAGGATGATATTGTATGGAAATTGCAAGTGTGATTTTTTTTTAATAAAGTGATTATGTTTTTTAATAAAGTGATTATATTTAATAAATGCTTATATAATAAATATATAATAAATGCGTATATAATATGATTAATTAATCAAAATAGTTGGAGATATTAATATTTTTGAGAATTATTTTAAGTTTATTTCAATAATTTTTGTAATTTGTAAACGGATCACAAAACTCTCAATAAATTTTAAGTACTTCAGAAATGATATTTAAATATATGTTTAATTGATACTTAACCCTCTAAATACCACCACAATGAGAAATGACAATAAGATTGATCGATTCGATGTCGATTCCATTATCATTTCTCACTGAGACTGGAGATCCAAAAGATCCCAAAGTTTTTTAATCATATATATATATTATAATTCATAGTAAAAATCCATATCCATAAAATGCGTAATTCTATCCTTTTGTTTGAAATATTTTTTTATGAAACATATTTCTTAGATTTCTTAGAAGATATTCAGGTACTTTTTACGATTAAAAGTATTTATCAAAGCAACGAATAGTAAAAGAATAAAATCAGTAGTCTGCCTCTTTTTTTTTCTACCACACGCAATATCGACATGCAATGTAGAAAATGTATAATATATACTTTATCTATTTATGTCAAGAGATTTGATTGCAAGTTCATGATGTACTGTCAAATACTATTGTGACAAAGTGCCATTTACATCGAACAGAATAAATAAGCGCTATGAAACAAAAAATGCCGGAAATCATATCAACATTATTACGCATCTCTTATCCTTAATTACAATTAAAACTGTTAGCGTATCCGTCTAAAAAATTGATTTAACAAAACCTTTTTCGTATTTATCGTAGTCATTTTCGTATGTATATTTTTGCTTATACCAGCATTTTTAATCATAAATTCGGACCATCAAATAACAAGAGAGACATTAGTTGGGCTGACAATGAAATGGAAGGATGGTAATCTTGGAGATAAAGCCGATGAAAGTAGAATTGATGTCGATAACCCACTTTGGAGTCAGGACACGTACCTCGGAAGATGGATGCATTACAACTTCATCAGCGACTGCCGCACGATACTCGTACCAGAGAACAAATTGTGGGAAGCAAAAAAACTCTGCGAAGATTATAAGTAAGTTTGTACAGTTTTCTCTCCTCCTTCTTTTTCTGAATTACGTTTTTTATCAACTTAATTAGTAAAATTTTCAATTTTGAGAAAATCATTTATTGTATAAAAGATTATTTAAAAAACTCCAAATCTAAAAAATACAGCTATTAAAAAAAATTAATATTTTCTTATTTATATAATATTAATGCGTGAGGTAATCAACGCACAATATTACAATATTTCGTTCTATTATTCAGGGCCGGAAAGGAGCCAGAGGGCATACAGAGAGAAGACATAATCTATGCGAAGAAACTCAGAGACGGGGCCTTTCATCCCGATAATGGCGAGTTCATGCATGTGATAGGAAGAATGTCCTTCCAGCTGCCCGCTTCTGTCGCCCTCACCGCCGCCATGTTGACCTTCTACAAGTTAACTTTCTACAAATAATAAATAATGCATCCCACGTTCACAAATTCCCGATCAATTCTCATTTGATTTTCTATTTTTATCGTCCGCTATATTTCCGTCAGATCCGCCTTCAGTGTGATAACATGCCAACTAGTTAATCAGAGTTTCAACGCGTTTGTCAATTACACTAATCGAAACGTGATGAGTGATGATCCGCAGGATACCGATGTTATCCACCAGGCATTCATGCTCGCCACTGCAGCAAGTTGCGCGGCTGCTTTGGGATTTAGAAAACTATTTTTCGGCCGAGGAGTTCTCTTTACAGTTAATTCATTTTAAATCTGATTTTTTGTTCCATCCTTTCCCGATTCTTATTTCATTTAAATATAGACATTCGAACGTCATTGATCAATTATTTTAATCGTCCTACATATTCAAAATAACTACTACTGATAAAACTCTGTAACGTCAAAAATCTAATATAATTCGTGACCTCAAGATCATCGAATATTCCATAGAATTGTCATTTGTTAAGAATTTATTAAGAATTTGTTTTTATTTTAAATATCCAAAAGTATAATTATAATCCAAAAATGAAAAAAGTCAATTATCTTTCTCGTAGAGATTCGTTCCGTTTTGTGCGGTTGCTGTCGGCAATATGGTAAATCTCCCCATCATGAGGCATCAAGAGATCGCGCGCGGTGTTCCAATATTTGCTAAGAACAGTGACGAAGTGTTCATCATGAAGTCGCAAGTGGCCGCCGTCAAGGGTATTTCTGAATGCGTTCTCACAAGGATAATAATGGCCGCGCCCGGAATGCTGATGATTCCAGTCATTACGCAACGAATACAATCGTATTGTTTTTACCAATTTCATCCATGGATCACTTTTCCCGTCGAAATCGGTTTATGCACACTCTGGTAATTTTTAGAGATGACGTTGCGCAAATCCGCACGATATAAAATATTGATTAATTACCTTCGGCGCATAGTATTTTAATCAATATTTTCTTTTTTCTTCAGTTTATTAGTCATGATCCCTTCGGCACTCGCCATTTTTCCGCAGAAAAAGTAAGGATTTAAATTAATTCTGAATATTTTTGGACAATAAAAAAATTAATTTTTTAAAATCAGGAACGTATAGTATAGTATAATATAATATTATACGTATAGTATTAACAAGCTTTTTCTATTAAGCTCGATGAACCCAGAACTATTAAAGATATACCCGGAGGAGTACGAAATATTTCGAGAGAAAATGGGTCAGCGCAAACATCCGAATAAAGTTTACTATAACAAGGGACTGTAGACTATATAAATAAATATAAAATTTATATTTCATTTTATAAAATAAATGTATATGTATATGTTATTAGATTTTCCATGGGATCTATAAAGTTTTTGTACTATCGAAATATCAAATTATAAAATGATTAAAGCTATAGAGAAAATAATAGCTATTCAATTATCGAATAACATTTATTGACACAACATTGTCATCATTATTATGTTTTTCAATAACATATGTAGTAAAGTTTTTTTATTATATCAACTATATATGGCAGCATGTTTACTTTTCGATAGGCTTCTCGAAATTTAATAACATTAATAACATTAAGTAATATTTTAGTGCATAAGTAACGTTACACTTAAAACGTACGAAACTTATAAATAATATTAAGACGCCTGAGAGGAACAATTAAGCGCTTATTGAAATCAAATTATTGCTACAATTTGTAATTATAGACATCGATAAAGCACCAATTTATATTGTTGACATTTTATTCTTAAAGGCCATGGCACATAAAAAAAGCAAATCAGTTAATCACAGTAGAAAATATAAGGCAATAACAGAAGCAGTAGCAAATTTAAAATATTGTTCACTGCTTACATTTTGCTGCTTAGGTTTTTTTTTGTGCACCATAGCTTTTACTATAACATCTTTACTATTGTATCGTGAGCTAACTTCTCTCTCATTGTAATACTTCAGTGTATTGATGGAATTTTATTTTATCACTTCGTGGATATTTTGTGACTAAATACTAATTTAAATGTCAATGTTAATATCAATGCAATGGTCAAAATTTAATACTTTAAAACTGTGCGTAAATGTTCAATATTATTATTATTATTATTAGGCGTTAGGAACTCGAAAGCTCATTGCCGCAAATACCAAACCTCGCCACTGTTCCCGTCCCTGAGCAAGATCCCTCCATTTGTGACCCTCGTACCCCATTTCGTTAAGGTCCATTCTAATATTATCCTCCCATCTACGTCTTGGTCTACCCAATGGTCTTTTCCCATCCGGTTTACCAATTAATACTTTATATGCAATTCGATTCTCATCCATACGCGCCGCGTGACCTGCCCATCTTAATCGACGCGATTTTATGACATTAATAATATCCGGACTATTATATAATTGATGTAATTCTGCGTTGTGTAATTTTCTCCATTCGCCCGTTTCCTCATCGCGTTTTGCCCCGATGATTTTTCGAAATGTTCGAAATGTTCAATAGCAAATATAAAATATTCCTGCTATAATAATTGACTATAACTAAATGAGTTATATTACAGTTTCGGATTCATCTCTGATCCAGCAGAAGAGTTTAACTCGTCATTGTGCCATTTAAAATAACGATATTTATAAAGGATGGAATAACACTTATTTTATCTCAATTTCACATAAAACTAGAACTTCTCATAACATTATAATTCCTTGTTGAAATATAAATACGTCGGTAGTTTACTGCCTTCACAGTTCTTCGTTAGTAGCTCATAGTTTTCCGGCTCCCAGCGTTGTAAAGTAGTTGCATTAATGGAGCTTAATGGACGTGGCATAAAATAAAATGTTAAAAATAAAATATTGAAAAAAGAATTTTCGAATACGTAAAGTATCAAAAACATTATTTACCAATTTTGTGGGAATAGCGCACACGCCGTCGGCACCATAAACGTCAACCTAAGATGTTTCATAAAATACAAATTTCACATACTAATTATTTAATGACAAAGATAAATGATAAGAACATAATTATTTAATGACAATGATAAATAAATGGTAAGCAAAAATAAGATAAAAAAAGATGTGGTACTCACGAAATTCCGCACATCATAATTTGTATCGGTGCATGCAGTGGTTTAATTCTTTGCATCCACGCGTATTTTTCCAATTTTTCCATTATGGGCGGTAAGATAACTGTGGAAATTATCATTTTAATTAGTTAAATTTATCATTATATAACGAATAAATTTTAAAAATAGAAAATTTTAATAAGTAATTTAAATTGAGATGTTTGATTGATACTTACGCATGCCGGGTGCGCACATGACGATTCTCGAAATGACAACTTGACTGATGCCTTTCACAGCTGCGAGCTAAAATCGTTTAATAACGTTTACTAAAAATTTTCAACACGTTAAATTTAATAAGATTTGGAATTTCGAAATTTAATATTATCTTATCTTGCAAACTTACGTTTGATAAAATGCATAAATTAATCTTCATATGTTTTTTGTGTAAAATTGAGCAAATTTTACATACAAAATTTAATAACCAGCGACAAGTAATGTATACCTTTGATTTTGTAAGTTTTCTGCCGTTCTCGTCAATGAGATCCACGCCGTTTACAATTTCGTTCTGCCTCATTAGAGGGATATTAGCGCAATTAGCGGCTGCCACTGCGGCGAACGGAACGTATCTCTAAAATATTTTTTTTTTCTTGTATTCAGCAATTTAGGTCGTTAACAATCTCAGACACGTTTTGTTTTATAAATTATATAGGATAGTATAAAAATCAAAGTTTCAATATGGTCGATTTTACAGGTTAATCAACTACTTCAAATTTCGTTAAAAGGAAAGAATCATTAGTCATTGGTGTCAAATCTGGGATATTCTATGTGATTTTCAAACTGCTCTCACAAAACTTACAGTCATTAGAGGACTGGCGCGCTTCTCCCAATACGATTTACATCCTATCGCAGTTATCATCGCCGCGACGGTCGCACTAACATAAGCTACACCTAGCTGATTAGTCGTTACAGGACTGTTAGCATTCCTGTTGGTGTAATTGACGAGCGCGTTAAAGGATTGGTTGACCCATTGCCAAAAAACTACTGCTTGAGTCGTCCTAGATAGAATTAACATCGTCAAAAAAGAAGTAATAACTTAATTTAGACTGTGTGATAAATTTTTTAAATAAAATCACAAGAATTCAATTAACAACAACCTTACATGTTATTAAAATTAAAATTAAATAGATAAAGTGAATACTTATTTTTCTTGACTGTTAAAAATGTTTTGACTTTTTCAAAATATCAATATGATTAAACAAAAGGATTTTCAATGACCATCGATCGAAATTACTGTAAAATGTACCTGTAGAACTGAAGCATAGCGCCGGTGATGGCCATTCCACCCGGCACCTGGAAGGACATTCTACCAAAGACATTCTGCAGGTCGCCGGTATCCGGATGAAAGGCAGACTCGTACAGTTTCTTCGCATAGATAATTTGCTCTGTGGTAGTATTGGCTGGCTCTTTGCCAATTCTATAAGGTACGAAGTACGAAGCTTTTCAAACAATTGAGAATATGCTTGCGTCAAATGCAGCAACTCATAGGTATAGTCTCATTTTCATTCCCAATAATAAATTTTAATTCAATGGAAAAATTTACGTTGGACTTATCTTGAAATTTCTGGATGGTTTAAGAATTGGTAGAAATAAGTATATTATATTTAATGTATTATCAAAATAAACAAAACAGAAATATTTAATGTATTATCATAAGTGATACAAATTTTTTTAATAGTAATGCGCGTCGAATCGACTAAAATTAAAAAGAAATTTCGTGACGAATAGTATAAGTATTTCCTATCACCTGTATTGTTCACACAACTTTTTAGCAGCTATCAGCTCTGATTCTGGTTTGACGCAGGTACGGAAGTCTGTCATCCACGCAAAGTATTTCCATCTTCCCACGAAGGTGTTTTGATCCCACAGAGGTTTGTCTAGGTCCAATCTTTCATTCGTCATCATGTCCAATTAAGAGATGTCTTCAGCACAGATCTCTAATCAAGATTATAATTCGTAAAATAATGAATTATAAATTTAGAAAATTGATTTTATATATTATAATACAATTAATATCTTTCCTTTTAATATATTTTCATACGGTTTATTTTATAATAAATTAAAAATCATTCGATTTATACGCGCGATAAAGAATATACAGAGTGTCCCAAAGGTAATATTTTAAGACAAGATATACGTACTGCAAGTGTTATACAAATGGTTACTGGACGATGGACGTTCTGCGCGATCGTATGTTTCGTATAAGCCGTGCTTCCTTTCATAATGTTACAAGAGAGGTCCAACAAAATGAGAATATATTTATAGTTCAGTACGCGAGCTATGCGCGTGAAAATAGTGCGCTGCGGTCAAGCATTTTTAATTTATACAAAGCAATTTTTGCTTCTTCTTGTCATCGAAATATTACGTAATATTTTTCCACGAGTAGAATAAGCATAATAGATAACAAATACACTGCCGTCTATTATGAGTTACAGAGCAAAGGATAAAGACTAGTATTTATTATTATTATATATACATTGTACGTAAAAACCTTTAAAGCAAATTTAGTGAAAAACGAATTGTATCATTAAATAATGTAAATTAATCTTTTACTATTCAATGTAATTTTTAAGTCAATTCAAAATAAGATTTTCAGTTTTGTTTCCTTTTATATTCTTCAACAAAGTCTAGTCTAAAATTAAATTAATTATACTATTTAAAAATATTTAATTTTGTGCTTTGGGTCTAAAAAAAAATACAAACTTATCATTTATATTTTTCCGAATTTATATTTCTATATATTATAAAATTTATAAATTTTTTAAAGATAATTTTTTATAATAGAGCATCTTTTTTATTTTGGCATATTATATCAAAAGTTTCTTTCATAGCTCTAGGAAATAAATTTAATATTTCTCTAGTAATTCTCTTTTCAATTCACATTACAGATGCAAGTCTAAAACTATGGAAGTTTAAGTTTACGCGAATATTTACATATCCATAATAAGCAAATATATATTATGTAAGAAATATTATAAAAGGACATTTCGCGAAAGTCTAAATGATGTTGAATCGTTTGCAACGTCATGATGGAATTGATAAATAAGCGTCATTGCGTATTATCAGTGTTGTGCCATTCACATGTCGCCGCTAATCATTTGAATGCAAACCGTAATTGTGCAAGTACGTATCACACACTCAAAGAGCCCTAGAGCACATTTTTTATTAATAAAATTATCAAGTAAAAACATAGCGTACTAGAAAAAATTGTAACAATTAAGGGGATTCTAGAGCCTCCTGTATTACCGATAAAACTAGCGTTTTTAACGTTTTTGTCCCTGTCAAATTTCTTCATAGTAGTTTAACAGAATAAAAATTCCTTTTCCACAATTAAAATGTATATGCTAATGTACTTATCGCTGATGTATTTTGTGTTTGAAGTTAAAAAAAATTAAAAAATTATAGATTCCTTTATTCATTTTACATTTAGCGTTGGCCGCTATACTGAGATAAAAATGAATTAAAAAATCTGTAATTTTTTTTCCAGCTTTGAACACAAAATACACCAGCGACAAGTACATTAGCATATACATTTTAATTGTGGAAAAGGAATTTTTATTCTGTGAAATTACTACGAAGAAATTCGACAGAAACAAAAACGTCAAAAATGTTAGTTTTATCGGTAATACAGGCGGCCATACTCCAACATCCCCTTAAATAAAATTTGCTTTTATTATTTTTATTGTCGTTAACTAATTTAATTTAATTGAACAAATTAATTTGGTTGATAAGTAACAAATTTTTTTATTATAATCATAATCCTTCGTCGGCAATGTGAAATGTTCACTCTTCGCAATCTTTATCTTTGATCTTTAGTGTAAATTTTCATATAAAAATTTTTTTAAATCTAAATAAATTTTTTATATATTTAACGAATGCACAAGCTTTAATGAATTTTTGCTATCACAGAAATTAGATTATTTTACTTATTTCTTTATAGATTTAATTTTATTTATTAAAATTTGCAATTGAAAAATCGACTGTGCTTTTAAAGTCTAACATTTCTGATGCAGCTTGTTAAAAAGTTTTAATTTACACATTTTTATAGATTTTTCCTGATCTCTCTCTCCCCCCCCCCCTCTCATTTTTCTTTTTTATCCTTTTTTTTATTGAAATGTCAATACGGATTGTAACCGGATTTTTTATCATTATCTATTCAATGTAAACTAATTACTTAAATTACTTGTAGCTGTTGATGACGTGTGAACATAGCTTATAACAAGCATCAATATATACGCATTATTCCCGCATTATCATTATTTCTCTCATGTGTCGCTTTATTTATCTCTTCCAGCACTTGTCACAGTATATATCGACTCCGTGCTCTCAGAAAAGTTGCGGTCGAAGTGACGACCCAGTTTTTCGGTAGGACGCACCGGTAACCACAATGGTTGAACCAATTCATCAACCGGTCGTTTTTTACATTAAATGTCAATAACATAGGCATGGAGAAAGAGACTTACACCGCTACTAGGATCGCAAATTGGACCGGTAGGAATAATTTGCCCTCGATGCACTCGCGTCACCTTGAATAACTTATGCAACATTTTATCAAAGCATAAATCCTAGTCACTCACCCTGTCGTGAAAACACACGTTACTTCTGGAACTGCGCTCGGCCGTTCTCGGCCGTTCTATCTCAATGCCGGCAAGTGCCGAACCGAGATGTGCGGCGAACGCCAGCAAACGCCAGCGAATGCCGAATCCAAAAGGAGCGATAACCGCATGTAATAATCGTACGACGAGACCTCTTATTACGCTACTGATATCGACGAACGCGCCCTTCAATGGAAAAGTTATACCAGGCTGCGTTCGCGTAGCGCTTACAATATTGCTTGTAACACTTTCGATACAATCTAATCTCACATCATTGCCCGTCATTTTAATTATATAAATAATCGAAGACTGGAAAATTAGAGATTTACGAATGGAAAAGTACAGCCACAGATATGGAATTTACGCTTGTATTTTCGTGTTAATTTGCGCATATTTACTTCTCTGAAAATTTTGCCATCGGTTGGCAGCATTGTTTATCAGCCAGGAAATTGCAAAAAATGAATGCTCGGTAGAGCCCTTTGAAGGATCATTTGATAAAAGATACGGACCTGGTCGGCCGCCTCCAGCAAGCGCAAGCGCACCAGGGGCGGCTGCGCGGCGCGGCGCAGCCACAGCCAGCTGTGTGGGCTGCCAGGTTAAACGTCCCCTCTACCAGGCAACCAACTTTTACCCCCACCTGCCCCCTGGCCGTGAAGCTTTACCGCCCGCTTCACCACGCTTCACGCGGTCTTCGCACACAGCTGCAGCCGTCGTTCCTCACGTCATCCGGTTCAGACAGACTGCGAGCGAGCGAGCGAGTAAGGAAGAAAAAGAAAGAGAGAGAAAGAAACAAGGGGCGGTGCGTCGCGGCGCGGAGCGGCGCGGCGCACGAGACGACGGCGACGGCGACGACAACGATACGAGACGAGCCGCTCGCTCCTCTCCGGTCGGCTCGGTCGTAGCGGAGCGAAGCGGAAAGCGCAAAGCCCACACCACACCACACACCATCATCAGCTTACTTGCACGCTCGCTCGCAATAACTTTAAACTCGAGGCAAGATGGCGGCCGCGGCGGCGGAGACCCCGTCCGCGCACCTCGCGCTCGCCACGGGCGACAAGATCCTCGTGACCGTCGAATCCGCGCTGCCCGACATCCTCGTGGTATCTTTCATCCATGGCGCCAAGTGCTTCCAAGGTGCGCTGCTCGACGCCACTAAGAGGTAAGAATAAGGGAGAGAGAAAGAGAGAGAGAGAGAGAGAAAGAGATAAAAAGAGCGAGAGACAGAGAGAGAGAGAGAGAGAGTGAGAGTGAGAAAGAGCGATATGAAGGAAAGACCTCGTGTTGTGACTTGTTCTTTTTGTCCTATTTTGTTCCGTTTAGCGAGAGCCTTTTGTTCTCTCATCGAAACAGTGTTCAACCCTGACCATCCTTCGGCCTTTAAAGAAAAAATCGCGAGAAAAATCACCCGTTTATGGGTTCCGCTAGTTAAACCCAAAGGTTTCCGATGGGGCTAGCATTCAAAACAGCTTGGGATTAGGTGATTCATCGATTTGACGATGTTATGGCCCTTTGAAGGTTTTGCAGGAAAATGATCATGATGTTTATGTCTCTACTTTATCACAATAAGTGTTGACGATTAAATTTGCTCATTAATCAATGCTCTTTAGAAGTTTTTCTTTGCCTTGCCTTTCTGAAACCTGAAAACGTATGTCTTCGAAAATTAATCGGTTCTATAATAACCTGTATAGGTACTTTAGAGATTAGTAGATTTGAAATTGATTAAATAGTAACTATAAAAGGTATTTTAGTTGCTATCTGTGAACAGAATGACGAATATATAATGGAATGTTCAACAGAAAAGTTGATGACTAAGTTCACTTATACAGTTTGTTGAGATATGTGATGCATAAGAAAAAATACAATAAGATCGGAGTCACGAGTTCAAAAACGTAGAAAAATTTTGACTTTTAAAACTTTTCCAACGCCGCATTCAAGTTCGTACTTTGGAACAAAGTGACAATTGTTTCTTAAACCGGATATTAATGACTAGGCTCTTTTGTGCCACTCTGTGATTATTTCTTTCAATACTGCGTAGGCGTCTCGATATTTTAAAAGAGTTTTAAAAATTTGATGATATAAAATCCTTGTATACTAGTAGATTCACATCATTTTTTCAAAGTAATAATTTAGAGAAAAAACTCATTGTTCAAGGAACAAACACTAACGATATTCTTTCGCGGGTTTGATTTTTTTTTATTTTGTATTACGATTCTAAGATTCTGATGGAACAAGCGACACGAAAGATTTGAAACTCAGATTTTTCGAATATCCAAACGTTTAAAGATATCGAAATCTCATAAATTGCACAGCTGCAAAAATTTTTTATAATGATTTTTATTTTCGAATTTATAAATTTGAGTATTCTGGGATAGTATTCTAGAATTGTGTGTCGAATTCACACAAAATGAGATTAAAGTGTAGGAAAATAAGAATCAGAATAAAAAGCAAAATGATCTATGATCGGTGTAATAATCGATGCAGATGATGATTGATGTTCCATTGCTACAAAAAATCCGGTTGCTAAGTATAACTTTCAGTTTTTGACGTAATCATTGGGATATAAAGATGTGATATTTCCAATTTATATAAGAGTTTATATTCAGATACCTGGAACAAAGGCAATGCTTCAAATATCTGGCAGTGTCAGGATCCCAAGGAGTCTTGTTACATAATCGATCTAAAATTGGGCGGTTATACAAAAATATCATCAACTTTTTTACGTAGCATTCTTGAAATATAAAGATT